ATCCATCCATCCATCCATCCATCCATCCATCCATCCATCCATCCATCTATCTATCTATCTATCTATCTATCTATCTATCTATCTCTATGAAAGGATATCCAGCATTGTCATTGCTGTCTTGACTTAGTGCACTGTAAGAACCATTGTAGGTAGCTCTAAAAACACTTCTGGATTTTTTTCCTCAATGCCTAACTGTCATTTCAGTCTGATGAAATTTTGGCTTAATCTTTATGGTTCAAAACACTCACTGTTTGGTGACATACATGGAATTTGATAGTTATATATACATTGCAAAGAATTCTAAAAATATAGAAAAGGAGACATTACATTTTTCAGTACAGAACTGAATATGAATGAATTAAATGTCTGTGTACACTATGCTATTTATTAAAAAAAATCATTTACTAAAACCATATATCTTATATCATGTCCTAATTACCAATAGAATGAAGAACCTGAATGAAGACTGTCACATGTCCTGATACACCTAGTCTGTGAAAGTGACAAAATTCTGTTTCCTTTGAAATTGTTTTCAAAAGTCAAGATTGACTCCTCTATGACAGCGGACTTTGAATTCTGCAGAAGGCTACAGAACCAGGTGCACATCGCTCTGCCCTGTTTGGTGGCAAAGAATGACTGTTAGTGGGTTGGCTCCCTCCTGATCCCTTACTCCCCCTATTTAAATTTTGCATTCAAATGCTAAACAGACCTTTTGTAGTCTTGATGGCCCTCCCAATGAATATTTTCTAGCTTAGAGTAATCAAATTTAGAGACTGTGCTGGAGGAAAAAGCTGCCACATCGCATTATATTATGACTGTGACTTACCTGGCAATTTGCAAGGTAATTCAATTGCTGAGGCTCAATCATTTGCAGGCATAATTTAGTTCCCTCAGAATTAAGAGGAGGATGGAATAATAAAATGTGCTATTTGGTATCCTTGAAGGCAAGCAAGGATCTGGTACATCAGATGACTTGAGGGAGCTGGAGCAACTGGCTGCTAGGGTGAGGACAGGCCCTGGAGTATGGTGTGACAGTCACCAGAGGAATGCTCCTGGCTAGGGGAACCACACAATGAGTATCATTCACACAGCATTCTGTCTGAGGACAGTTGCATAAGAAAGTACTCTTATCTCCATGTAAAAATGTATAAATGAAGAGTGTTGTGGCTTGTTTTGAACAGTCAGGTCCCAGGTTGTGGCCCTGTTCTGGAAAGCAGTGGAACCTGGAGGAGGTAGAGTCTCACAGGACAAAGTGAGGCAACTAGGGAAGGCCTTCAGGTTTTATGGCCTGATCCTGCTTCCTTCCTGCTTACTCCCTGCTTTGTGATCACACATGAATTGTGACTAGGCACCTCCCGCTACTGACACCACAGCTACCCTACCACAATAAACTGTATCCCCTTAAACTGTAAGCCAGAATGAACTCGTTCTTAAATTGCTTCTGATTATGTATTTGGTCACAGCAATGAGAAAAGCAAAGAATACAATGAGGATCAGAGGCAGTGCCTCCCTCTTCTAAGGTCACTTGGCTTGTTGTAATCGAGGTGGGAGGAGAAGCTGAATAAAAAGAACACCTCTTCCTCCACATCCAAATAGAGATATGCCCAGATGGTAATTCCTAGTACCTCAGAATAAGAGTTTTTTTGGAAAGTCTTCCAAATATAATTAATTAAAGTGACACCATATTGGTGTGTGGAGGGTGTCTTTATAAAAAGAGACATAGAGAGGTGAGAAACCAGGGACAGACACAGTTATAAGAACAAAGCCATGAGAATGTGAGGGCAGAGACTAGAGGTAGATGACTCTATAAGCCAAGGAACACTGTGGGTTGCTAGTTGTCATCAGAAGATGGAACAATCACAAAAGACATTATTCTTCGGAACCAATCTGCTGACAACTTGAATTTGGGTTTCTAACTTCTAGAACTGTGACCAATAAGTGTTCTCTTGAGCCACCCGGCTTGTGGTCTTTGTTACAGAACTCCTAGGGGACTAATAACAGCTTCTAAGAACAATAGAATTTCCATTTATATAAACTTGACTATGGACCAGGTGTTTTACAAATATTACTGTGAAATATTTCAGAAAGAGCTCTGAGTAGATTCTCAACAGCAACATTTTCAACGTTTATCTTAGGTCAAATAACCAATAAATGCTATATCTGGGATTTTAATCACAGGCCTGAGTATAGATGTATATCTTTTATACTGTGTGCTTAAGACATGGTAGTGTTCCAGATGTTTGTGGCAGTTTTAAGGAGAGTGACCTGCAATCTTTTTTAATTCATCCTTTCTTTTAAGTCCCTAGAGCAAACACTAACCCACTTTTAATTCCACAATGCAAATTCACATGCATTTGTTAGACGTATAGTTTTGAGATTATCACTCAACTAGTCCTAAAAGTGGTTACAAAGCATATACTGAAAAATCTATGCATAGAAGAGTACAATTTTCTCTTTGTTCTTTTTCAAACCATAGAAAGCATAGCTTATGTTTCCTGAACAGTGTAATGAGTTATTTAAGTTCTTTCTCTCCTTCAGTACTGTTGTAGAATATTATTTTAACTATGGAAAGATATGTTACATTCATCTATGCTGCAGAATATCACTTTAACTGTGTAAAGATATTACATTTGTGGATGCTGAATTTGATTAACAATGTAAGGATGTGTGTAATTATATAAAGATCAGCTGCATCTGTTTCATCTTGTCTATAACACCTGATTAGTCTAATAAAGAACTGAATGGTCAATAGCGAGGCAGAGAAAGTATAGGCAAGTCTGGTGGGCAGATAGAATAAATGGTAGGAGGAATCTAGGCTCCAGAAAGAAATGACAAATGAGAGAGAAGGAGGAGAGAACGAGGGAGACATGCAGGGTCAGAAGGCAGACAACTGCCATTTAGTCAGACATAGAAACAGCAAAAAAGTAAGAAAAGGTAAAAAGTCTGAGGCAAAAGGTAGATAAAGAGAAACAGGTTAATTTACAAATAAAAAAGGCTATCCAAAAATGTGCCTAAGTTAGGATGAGCATTCAAAACTAATATTAAGTCTCTGTGTTGTAATTTAGGATCTGGTTGGTGGCCCAAATGAAAAAGCCTGCTACATTGTACGTTCTGGGATAAGTACTAATGTCTCATCTATATTGTATCAGACCTAAGTAGTGTGGGAGAATTGTCTGTATTCTGTCAATAGTGTTTTAAATAAATGCTGATTGGCTAGATAGGAAGTATAGGCGGATCAACCAGACAGGAAGTAGAGGCAGGGCGATGAGAACAGGAGTATTCTGGGAAGCAGGAAGCTCCCTTTGCAGCTCTGCACAGATCACCAAAGAAGCAAGATGTGAGCTGCCTTGCTGAGAAAGGTACCAAGCCATGTGGCTAACATAGATAAGAATAATGGGTTAATATAAGCTACAAGAGCTAATAAGTAGGTGAGCTAATGGGACAATCAGTTTTTATAACTTATGGAGATCTCTGTGTGATTTTCTTTGGGGCTTGCCAGCTGTGGGGAACTGGGCAGTACATAAACCCCAACAAGCAGGCCCCTTCATGTTACAGAAGGAATCAATGCTTCTCTTCAGTCCTTCATGGTTCATATACTCAAGGAAGGTGAGTAAGGCCTCCCCAGGACATCCACTGGGCTCACACTGCCTTTCCCAGGGTCCAGGACAGGCTGCAGACATGTTCTTGCCTGATACAATGTGAACTCAGGTGAACTCAATGTAAACACTGGATTTCTTAAAAATTCTAATGTTATTATTCATCCTTAGCCTTTTAAGATGCTTTTGTCTAATACATACAGACCCCATAGGCAGCTTATTTCAACTTATGATATGGCAGCCCTGTTGATACATTTAGATTCTTAGTAATATGGGAAATGTCCACAGGAGATCATTAGCCATAAACAGCACATACAAGCACATCACTGCACTCACAGATCTCCCTCCATCTTTTCACTTCTTCTTTACGTGGACTTTGAGCAAGACACTTATTCTCCCTGAGCCTCGGTATCCCTAAATGTTCACAGTAATGAGAACCTTTCGGTGTTAATGTATAGAGTGGCTACTGGTGTCTTTGATAGTTTTTTACATATGTTAACAGTTTAGAGCTTGTCTTAGTCTGGTGGGGGACCTTAACAAAGTGTGGTTGGGTGGGTGGTTTATTTCCTCAAAACTCTGGAGACTAGAAGTCTGGAATCAAGGTGCGGACAGGGCTGTCTCTTTGAGATTGCCCTTCTTGGACTGTAGATTGATGTATTCTCTCTATGTCTGCATGTTTTTTTTTCTTGATGTCTTTTCTTGCATCTTAAGGAGTCCAGTCACATTGGATAGGGATATACCCTGATGATCTCACTTAATCTTGATAAGCTCTTTTAAGAGACATTTTCCACCAATAGTCTCGTTCTAAGATATCAGGGCTTTGACTGACACATGAGTTTGGGGAGAGCACATTTCAGCCTGTCGGCACACCTCATTTACTTCCTACAGCCCACTCCCACTGGACTCTGTGTGTTCTTTGAACACACACAGGAGCTGGTCTACTCTGCCTACAGTGTTCCAGTACTCATGGAAACTAGTTCACTTTACCTGCCTTCTCAACAGGCCAGCAGTTTCTCATTGCCCAAGGCCTGGAGAAATCTAGGAAGGGTTTTTCTTTTCTTTTAATTCCTCAAAATTCAAAAGGAATTCATTTCTTCTCCTAAGGCCCTACTGGAGTTTGATTTTATCTGTATGAGAGAAACATATTTCATTCACTTCTACATTTCCATAAGTCTCAGGTAGGATATTGTACAAAGTAGTAATTCAAGCACTAACCCCCTTGAATTGCATTGCATGTTAATCAATAAGGCCAATACTTTTCCCTTGTCAAAAATACTTTCATTTTACCAGCAATGGAGCACCATTAAGGAACTTACCAAAGATAGTCAAATTAATCTGATTTTTCCTCTTGTACATTTTATACTCATAAATATATTTTAGAACATGTTTGAGACAGCATAACCTTTATGGATCCCAACATGAATGTTAACTGGCTTTCTGATTTATAGATACACTTTGAGTTTTTAATCAATACAGAGAAAAGCTATTCTCAGGAAGCTTGGAATAGCCTGTGTGGTGATGACCTAAACTCTTGGTGGAGGAGGATAAATAGTGCTGAAAGGAAGTCTACTGAGAAAGTGTACAGCGAGGGGATAAGCAACGCTGTGTCTATAAATGTATGAAATGTATGTGTACACATTTTTTAAACGATTATTTTTATGTTATATGTATGGGCTTTTTGCCTTCACTTAAGTCTATGCACCATATGTAGATAGTGCCCACAGAGACCAGAAATGGGTGTCAGATCCTCTGGAACTGGAGTTAGAGCCAGTTGTTAGCTGTCATGTCAATGTGGGACATGACCTGAACCCAGGTCTTCTGCAAAGACCATCACTCCAGCCCCCATACACATAATTTTTTTTGTCCTGATAATTTTATTTCTGGAGTATGTTTGAAATTGTAACACAAATTCACAAGTAGCTATGTAAAATTATCCCTACTTGTGGACTGATTTCCTATGTCACATTAGCTACAAACAAAGCAAAAACATACAAGGGAAGTTTCACACACTTCCCTTGTCCTTGCTAGGTACACATGCAAAACTACAGAAACGCTAAGCCAGAGGGGATGATATTCTGTTAACAGCTCAATAGTACAGGCTCTATATCAGTATGCCACCTAGTAAGTTAATGTATCCTACTGTCTTTATTACCTTTCTCTGTGTGTGTGTGTGTATATGTGTGTGTGTGTGTATGTGTGTGTGTATGTGTGTGTGTGTGTGTGTGTGTGTGTGTATGGAGGCCAAAAGTCAATCTCCTGCATTGTTTCTCAGGTGCTGTCCAACTGGGATTTATTTTTTTTGAGAAAACTTGCAATTTGTTTTCCTTGAACTCAATGATGAGGCTAGACTGAATGACTGGGAATTCACCTATAGGTAAAAGTTTCCCAAATAAACACACTGAAGCGT